AATATATATATATATATATATTAATATATACTTTACTTTATTCTATCACATCACTCAAATAAAAAAATAAATAATTATTTCTCTCTCAAATCACATCACTTAATATCCACATTATCTCAAATTACCATACTTAATACTCCCACCTAAATTCTCGTATCAAACACAAATATTACACAGTATTTGGGACGGAGGGAGTTTTTTTTTTTTTTTTTTTTATAAATAAATTCTATTTTAATCAATTTTTTTAAAAAAATAAATTCGTGTCCAATCAAATAGACATAATTTTATATGATAAAAGAGTAATAGTTTTACATAGAATTAATACAAACAACCTAAGTATCCATCGAATCCCAAAAAGATAGACAAAGAGATGGTCCACTTCTTCTCCAACTCCAAACAAATATCTTTCATCTCATTAAATTCCATTTATTTTTCTAGTGAGAACAACTTAATTAGTACCTTGTGTTTGATTGGGGATTTTTGTCAATTTTCTATTATCTGCTTTTTTTTTTTTTTTTTTTTTTTTTTTTTTTTTTTTTTAAATACTCAATCCGTCTCGTAATTAGGTATCCGTTTATTTTTTGTGCGTAGTAGGAATAAAGTAGAAATGACTAAAATAACCTTATTTGTATGGTGTGATATAAAAGCAATGGTATTTGTGTAATATATTATAAGTTTTAAGGATATTTGTAATGTTAGGTAGATAGTACAATTACTAACAGAGAAAATAAATACTTTGTTATGAGACGGACTAAAATAGAAAAATATATACTTTGTTCTGAGACGGAGTAAGTATTAAAAATTAAATTTATAGTTCAAAATTTTGCATTAATATTTATTTGTATCGCATCAAATAACTATTCGTCGAAGTCTTTATATTCAAAACTCAAATTTAAAATTCAAACCCCCCAACAAAATATTTTTTTTGGTTGATATCAAGAGGTGTTTAATTGGGTTTTTTTTTTTTTTTTTTCTGAATAATAATTTAAATAGGATGTTTTATATGAAAAAATGTATACCTATATTTTAAAGATAATATTAAAAATTAAATATAAAAAATATAAAATGACCAAAAATTTTTGTGGTACAAAACAATTATTTCTGAGCACAAGATTTTTAATTTCTATTAATGTACACTCTTACAAGTTTGTGCATATGTTAGTGATTTGATAAATGAACATGGACAAATTTACTTACAGCTGAAAATCCATAAATGTTGATTGTAATATTTTTGTGATTTGTTGGAATGAAATTTCATAGAATATCATATTGAGGCCATCTCCTCGATCCCGACTATCACGTTCGTTTTACTGTAGATACGAGAATTTAGGGTGGTCATAATTAGTATATAATTAATAATTAATAAAAATAATTATCGTATAATAAAAATAATTATATATTAAGATTAAAATAAATAATTAGTCTAATTAAAATTTAAAAATAAGATTAAAATGTATAATTTTTTTTAAAAAAAAGAAAAATAAAAAAATAAGTGGGATAGACGAAAATGAAAATTGAACATGATAAGTAGAACGAATGAATGAAGTATAATTTAATATTTTTTTAATATTTTTAAATAATTGTAAATAAATAAATAAATATATATATATATATATATATATAATAATTTGTGAAATGGCCTAGAATGAAGAAGTAAATAATACACCCTTCCACCCCAACTCAACATACCATTTTTACTATTTTTATCCGTCTGATTGAAAAGTTACTATTTTATATTTCTGTCCGTCCCAATATTTTTTGGGGGTGGGTCCCCATTTTTTGTACAACCACTATAAATTAAATGCAATGAAGAAGTAAATAATACACCCTTCCACCCCAACTCAACATACCATTTTTACTATTTTTATCCGTCTCATTAAAAAGTTACTATTTTATATTTCTGTTCGTCCCAATATTTTTTGGGGGTGGATCCCCATTTTTTGTACAACCACTATAAATTAAATGCAGTGGGTTGGAGGTGATTTAATGCTAATATTAAAAAATTTACGTGCAAAAAGCAAACGTCGCCCTTATAATGGGATAGAGGGAATATTTCTTTTTTATTTTAGTAAGTTAATCATACACTAATACCAAAATACATTTTAACTTTTACTTAAATTACAAATATATTATTTTATACGTATTATTTTTTATATAAAGTAAAAGAACAAAAATGTCAAAAATTCTTACGCACTTTCACTGATTAGTAAAATAATATTATTTTTTAATCTATTATAAAACCCTGTGAGACTCATTTGGATTGGTACTATCATAATCAAAATATGAAAGATGTTGAAACCAATAATATCTATCATAGATTAAAATTTATTTTTTTCCCATTAATAAAAGTTTTCAACCAACTTTTAAAATTATTCATGACTCATTAAATATGGACAAGAAAGCAATAATTAGTTACCAAAAATAAGAAGCCAATGAATGGATGAATTAATCGACAATAAAATAATTTTTTTTAAAAAATAAATAGTGGGGCAATATTGGGTTTTGTCGCGCAAAAGGAACAAAAGTGGAGGCAAATCCCATTGGTCGAGGTTTATCGTTCCGATGCGGTGTCAGCATACGATTGGTGGACCCATCATATCATAGTACGATGATGTCTACCTCTTCACCCTAATTATTATTTATACTCTCTCGTACATCTATTTGCTTTTTGCACATAATTTTAAAAATATTAATATTATATTATGATAGAATAGAAATAAAATATAAATAACTAAAATAATTTTATTAGTATGTGTAATATAAAAGTAATAGTATTTGTGTAATATATTATAAATTGTAAAGGTATCTGTAATTATTGATATATAATACAGTTATTAAAAAAAAAATACTTTGTTATGAAATATACTAAAATGAAAAAATAAATATTTTATTATGGGATAGAGGAAATATTTTATTTTACTCCACTAAGGCATCGTTTGAATGTTTTCTTTTTAATTTCTGAATCAACCCTTAGCTGTTTGTTTTAACAATTTTGGAAAAAAAAATAACATGTAGTTCCTCCGTCATTCAATTGTGTGTTTACTTAATCGGATACGAATTTTTTTAAAAAAAGATAAAAATCAAATAATTTAATTTGTAGGGTAAAGAAAAAATAAAAGTATTATCTCTATTCTAAAATAATAATCTCATTTTATCATTTTTGTCCGACAATAGTCTCATTTCTATTTTTGGTAATGGGCTCCTCAATATTTTACAAAAGTATCCGCACTTTTTAAACAATTACATAAAGTAGGGACTGTTAGAAATTTTTGGGAAAAAAATAATAAAATTGTCTTATTCATCGTCAAAATAAGGGGCTATATATAGGTAATACAAAATATACTCGATAGACTTAAATCTTAATAATCTAATTTATGGATCAAATTAAATTTAAATATAAATCTACTAAATTTAAAACTTAATATCTAAAATATCTTAACAAGACATTTTAATCTTTTAAAAACATTTTTACACTCCTATCAATTTAATTTTTACTCTCATTTGCTTTAGGGAGTGAGATTAAAAAATACTTCATCCGTCTCGACTATGATGTCTATTTTACTATATATATATAAAAAAAAAGATTCACAGTTACTAAAAAAAATGAGTACTTTATAATTAGACAATTCAAAATAGAGTGTACAATTTGTAAGCGAACAAGGGGATAATTTTGTATAATTAAATAGTACTCACTCCGTCCCATAAATATAGTTTTAATTGGGTTGGACACGAGATTTAAGTAATATTGATATTATATTCATAGTTGGTAAAAAGTATGGATAAAAGACTTTTTTGCCCTTATGAGTGTATTAGTGTAAAAAGTAATGATAATAGTGTAATAAAAATAAAAAAGTAGGGGTAGTTTTATGGTTATATGGTTATTTATGGAAATAAGACTATTGTTTTGATACGGACAAAAATAATAAACAAGACTATTGTATTGGAACGGAAGAAGTATGATTTTTATGTAAAAAAAATTATAAGAATTGTATGGACAATCAAATGATAAATTGTGTAAGATGGTTTTAGGGCATGTATTTGGCAACCAACATATATTTATACATATCTCAATATATTTATAATATAATATATATTATATTATAACAACTATCTTATAACACAATATATGTTATATTATATATAAATATATGATAGTCATCACTCATATGACATCTACTAATTCGATCAAATCAGCATCACGATGATTTTTCCGGATAAACAATTAAATCTGCAGCCATTGTTTTGATATTTGTCCTTAAAACTAACAAAAATTAAATGAATATTTTTGCAAAAGTTTTGAATTATTTTGATATTTGTATATAATTTAAGTGTGTGTTTGTTTGAAAGATTTTAGAGGATTTGTATTATTCATTCAAAAAAAATTTTCTCCAAAAATATCAAACACATATTTTTTATTTTTTATATTATACTAAAAATGAATTTTATATTCAAAATATCGCATCATAAAACTATTCCCATTCAAATTGTTTACTGTTCAAATCCTAATCCAAAATTCAAAACCCCAAACACACCCTAATAGTAAAAAATAATACACCATCTGTCATTCAAATTTATGCTCACTTTTCTTTGTGGGTTGACATTGAAAAATATTCTCGTTTTTTTTTAAGTAAAAAATTATTATGTATTTTTCTACTTTGTTTTTACTATAAAAGAAAAAAAATAATTATTATTACTCATTTTTATTAAAATTTATACCCGGTCAAATAAATACATATTTACCTGACAAAGAGAATAGATACTTTTAAGTGAAAGATATCAGAAAAAAACAGTTAAATTGGGATATATATATATATATATATGTACAATTTTTTTTTTAAAAAAAAAAAACCCTATTGAACACATCCAAACAAATCATAAGGGGAAAGGAAAACGATCACCCAAAAAAAATAAAAATAAAAATATGGAACAGCTGTAACCCTAAATCAAAAAAAAAAAAAAATATATCGCAGGCCATTTTTGCTAAAACAAGGTACTGTAAGAAATGGCCTTCGTCTTCCCTAATAAAAATTTCTGATTCAACCTTTTCTCGGGCATTGCCATTTTTGTGGCCAAGCTAATGCTAATTCAATTCTCTCCACACATATAAATAAATACATACATACAGAAATCTAATATTATTCTTATTTCTTCCCAAATTCCTCTTTCTGCTATGCTTCGATTCTTTTGGCCATGTCTTTTTCTTCCATCCAAAAGCTTCATCTCTCACAATCCCTTCTGGGACAAGTCTCCATTTCTTACTATTTTTGAACTCCTCTTTTTCTAATTTTAATCCAATTTCTAAATCTCTCTCTCCTCCCCCCCCCCCCCCCCCCCTTTTTTTTCCAATTCTAAAATTAGGGTTCTTGTAGACAGCTTCTACCCCTAAATCTTGAACCCATAAATCTGAACTTTTTTTTGCAGGAAAATTTAATTAGGGTTTCTAGGGGTCCATCCATCCATTGTGCAGATTTTATTTTTTTCAAAAAAGGATCAGAAAATTTGCAAGTATGGTGAGGGGAAAGGTTGAGATGAAGAGAATAGAGAATGCATCGAGCAGACAGGTGACGTTTTCGAAGAGAAGAAATGGGCTTTTGAAGAAGGCTTACGAACTGTCAGTTCTTTGCGATGCTGAAGTTGCTTTGATCATTTTTTCCCAGAAAGGAAGGCTCTTTGAATTCGCCAGCTCCAAGTGAGTACTAGTTTTTATTTATTTGATAATTAGTAAATCTTTTTTTCAAGAATTCTATATTTATAAAGTGGGTTTTTTTTTTTTTTTTTTGATTGTTGTATTGTTGATGATTTTGGTTTGGTTTATGGTTTATGGTTTTTGGGTTTTTTTTTTTTTTAAAAAAAAAATTATTTTTGGTGAGTTTATACTTTTCAGACAAGAAAAGACCAGACATGTATGTGTGTAGATATACACATATGGACATTAATGTCTATCCTCTGATTCATATGATTCCACTTTAAGATTGATATTTTGTTGTTGTTGGTTTCACATTGGATTTGAGGTTTTATTATTATCATTTTTATAAATAAAGCAAAATAATGACAATAATTATAATAATAATAATAATAATAATAATAATAATAATAATAATAATAATAAAACGAGCATTTGATTTGACATTTTTATCAAGATTTTGAGGGCAAAAATGATTATAAATAAGATTGAAAATAAACACAAGGAAAGGGCTGGGAAGAAAGACATTCTAAAAAATATTAATAGTAGTGCAACAAATTTTTTCTTTTTATAAAATCATTCTATTTTGATTTGGATATCAATATATTAATAATGGTAATGGTTACGGCTTTGAATTTTTCAAATCAGCATCCATAATACAAACAACACATGTTGTAATAAAGACATGTGCAGTTTGTTTATAATTATATGTATGCTGGATAAGAGTATGTCATGTGCTTGTGTTGTTAGTTTGTGTTTTGTATTTGTATTATATTAATATATACAATGTACTTTATGTCATAATATTTTGTATTGCGCCACAATGTTAAATTTTAACATGAGTAATGTAGCCGCTGCCATCTATAATACACACATATATATGAGTCCGGTGTGTTTGGTTGGTGATTTTTAGAATTTTGTTTTAATTTGAATAGCGGTATGTGATGTCGATCAAGAAAATAATATAATTTTATAAAATAGTAATATGTCAAAATTTGAAAATAACACACCAAAAATGCATATTTGGTTTGGTTTGGTTTGATTTCTCTTATGTCGAGTTTGTTACTTTTTCGAATATCATGTATTATTGTGCTCTACAACATGCTCTATTTTGAATAATCAGTGAAAATCATTGTAGCATTTTGGTGTGTTTGTTTCTGGATTTGATTTTTTGGTTTATATTGTTTGAATAGTAATACATTGAATTTGAATAGCTGTTTGATGCGAGAAAAATAGATGTTTTGATTGTAAAATTAATTTTTAGTATTATATAAAAAAATAAAATAGTAATTTGATTTGATATTTTTGAAGAAAAATTAAAGAATAAAAGCCCGAATAGTAAAATTTTGTAAAAAATCGACAAAAAAAACAAAGCTATTTTCGAGGCTTATTATGTGCTCAATCTTGGAAGGGATTATACAAGAACTTGCGACATTTATTATTTAGAAAAATCTCAAACATTTCACGAGAATGAATAATCGTTGAATTTGAAGTTAATGAATCACCGATCAAGTTGTAAATTTTCTTTTCGTCATGAGACATCTCGATTGATCTTAAATAAGTGATAAGTGAGTTAAAAAAGAGAGAGATCAACATTTTTAATCCAATCAAGAATTAGTAAATAAAAATAAGGAAAAAAATACATCTAGCTTTTGATGTTTGAGCTCGACCGAACTTTATTTTGCCCATCCAACCCAAGTTTTGGCCTTATTGGCTATCACACTAATTTAATTAATTTTAGGTAGGTCGAGCATTCTTCGACTATTTTCATTTGTTCGATAGAAAACTGATTCAACATTCATCAAAACTCAAAAAAATGGATTCAAAATGACAATATAATATGCAGACATACATGACTTTGTTCTTTACATCGCTATTCTATTACAGCTTACAATTTTCATCTCTTTGTCGAACCTATATGCGATCTTTTTCAGCATGCCGAAGTCGATTCAACGATACATGGAACTTACAAAAGAGCGAAAATCGGACAAAGAAGTTGAGCAGCACTTACAGGTTTGTCTGAGCTTTTATTAGTATGCAATGAAATAAAATACATTAATTCTTTTGATTAAATGTGAATCTATATAGTAAAAAGAACGAGAAAAAAAAAAACCTTGTTTTTCAAAATTAGAATATTCTTTACATGAACAACTACTTTTCAATCGCATGGCTGAAAATAATTTAACATATATTGTGTGTTTTAACATATAATTTGACGCATTATCTATTGTAAATTTATGTGATGTATTTGTATTATATTAATATGCATTGTTTGCTGTAATCAATAGTACTCCCTCCGTCCCACATATCATGTTCACGTTGCTGTTTCTGTCCGTCCCACATACCATGTCATTTTTTTTTTTGAAAAATAATTATACACTTTAATCTCATTTTAAACCTTTTAATTTTATTTTTTTTTAAAATTTTAATTAAACTAATTAGTTATCTTAATCTTAATTTATAATTATTTATATTATAGGATAATTATTTTCACTAATACATTATTAATTATCTATTAATTACACCCCTCCTAAAATACCGTGTCTACAGTGTAGCAGACACGGTACGTGGGTGGGATGGAGGGAGTATTATATAGTTTATAGACTATTACCAAATGTGGTCAGTTCATAATATGCATTTGTGCAGGACACTTCTTGAGTTTTGATGGGTTCTGTACAAAAATTAAAGAAAGACCATTATTTAAGTTTTTATATAAAGATAATATTTATAATTTTTAATTTTGAAAAATTGGAGTTTTTGTTATATTTTCAGTAAAATTATATATTTTTTATATATAAAAGATCCCATTAATATACTTTCAAATTAAAATTCAAGTAAAAAACTTAAATTTAGATACAATCTAATAAATTTTAACATATATATATATATATATTTTAGTATTATACATATATTTTAAAATATTTTATTTACATACCTATAGTTTAGCATATGCTAATTAGTTGTAAGTTCATTTCTTTTTTTTAATATTATCATGTATTTGTATTGAGATGAATTATAATATATGTTGCGGGAACTATTATCAAGATATTGATTATAATTATTAAGTTCATGCTGAATATATATATATATATATATATATATAAGACAGCATGCTTTATCTTACATTAAAGTAAACTTAATAATTTGAATTATCTTTCACACAATTAAAGCTTTGCTTGCAAATTTTTTTATTAAACCCTAATTGAAGTTACATCTAACTTAAGAACAAACACAACAGCCCTAATTTCTGTTTAAAAATGTATAGATTGCATGGTAAAAAAAAAAAAAAAAGAAGTTATTTGAAACAAAAACCAAATAAAATGATGGAAAATGAATAATAAAAAATCGAAGGAAAAAAAATAATAAAAAAATTACTAATTCCATTTCCTTCAAAATTAATTAACAGCTGCAAAATGAATCATATCCGATGTTTAATGTAAAAGTTTTGGTTGTAATGAATATATGGTGATATCTTGAGGTTCTAGAAGTCCCGGAACTACGTCCAATTTTTGCATCTGTCAAAGGTTCATGTTAGAACACGATGCGAAGCAAAAATGGCAATGCCTGAGATTGATTCCACAAGATCTCATCGAAAGCTTTAATTTTTAAAAAATCTTTTGGGCAGCATTTAAAGAACGAAGCAGCGTACATGGGAACGAAAATAGAGCTACTTGAGAATTCCCACAGGTTCTTTCTATTTACTTCGAACTTTATTTTTGCAATGGCGCATGAATCGATGTATATATATAAATACATATATTTATATATCAGGAAGCTTTCGGGGCATAATCTCGGATCTTGCTCGATGGAGGAGCTTCAAGAAGTCGACATCCAGCTGGAAAGAAGCCTCAAAATCATAAGATCGAAGAAGGTATGAAATCATTCTCGAGTAGAAAATATATTTTGAATTTTATGTTCCAAGTGGAAAATGTGTTTGAAATGTGGGGTGTGTTTGTTTAATTAGTGTGTGAGTTGGAGATGTTTTTTTTATGTAAAGTATAAAAAATTATGTCGATAATATAAAAAAGAATAATATTTTCTGTTGAATTATTGATTTTTGTGAAAAAATATAATGTAAATATTATATATTCGTGTAATAAAAAATAATAATAATAATAATAATGCAAATAGCATAGTACAAAAACAAGATCGAAATTCTATACATCCATTTTTGTTCATGTGTGAAAAATTTGTCCGCGATAGGACAATGGCAATATTATCATCTGTCGTCCGAAAATGCAGTGAAGAAAAGTGTACAAGGGCGTGTTTGGTTTGTGTTCGATTTTATGTTTTAGTTTTGAATTATGATTTGAATAACAGTTTGATATTTTATTAAGAAAATAATAATAAAAATAAGAACGGAATCTAAATGGTTTCGATGTTTTTATCATTACAGGCTCAACTGTTCAAGGATGAGATAGAAAGATTACAAGAGAAGGTCAGATTGAAAGTGTATTTAATTTAAACCAATAAGTCGAACAAAATTGAATTGATCGATATAATTTCTTACAAATAAATTCAGGGGAAATTTCTGCGCGAAGAAAACCAAAGACTCTGCGAAGAGGTCACAAGTTTTCAGATGCTATTAATTACTACATGTTTTTGCTGCGACTTAGAATTATTCGATATAAAAAATATTACAACCTCGAATATGTTCTTCTATTCGACTAATTTGTTTTATTTATTGTCTCGACTAAGTTTTCGTCTGTCTGATTGATTGCACAGATCGGTTTGCAGCAAAAGCAAGTAGTCGGGAAACGTAAGGAGATATTAAGCGTAAGCGCGCAAACGGAGAGTTCAGAAGTTGTGACCGAGCTATTTATTGGGCCGCCTACGACGAGAAATGGCTTGTAATAGATGGGATGATACATACAAAATATATATATATATATGTATGTATCATCGAATGATTTGTAATAATATGTTTGATAAAATGTAGCAAATATATATGTTGCTGTATTTTATTTTTACTTGTTTGGTAGTAATATTATTGTTGTTATTATGATGTTTATTGATGATACTTTTGGACCATTGTAATGTGATGTAATGTAAGAATTGTGTTGTGGATTTAGGATTTTCCCTTTGTTTTTTTTTTTTTTTTTTGGAATAAGTAAAAATTTAAATAAAAAATAGTATTTTTTATTTTGAATTACTTGTTTGATTGTAGTTTGAAATTGATTTGAAATGGAATGTTGATTTGAGTTTTTCTTTAAATAGTACTCCCTCCGTTTCACATAATATGTCTTTATTTTCTATTTTCGTCCGTTCCACATAACTTATCATTTCTATTTTTGGAAATATAATTATGCACTTTAATCGTATTTTAAATTTTATAATTTTTTTAATTTTAATTAAACTATGTACTTATTTTAATCTTAATCTATAATTATTTTTACTAATACACTTCTTAATTATTTACTAATTATACTTTACTTAAATTCTTGTATCTACCGTAATAGTGCCATATTTTCTGGGACGGAGAGAGTATGTTGATGTTATATTTTATGAGAAAAAAATTGTGAATTTTTATTGATAACTGTGTGGAACAAATAATACTATTATTTTGATTTTAAATGGTAAAAGAACAGTCTTAATGTTAATATATTAATTTTTAATTTAATAAATATGAGTTTGTTTGTTTAGTGTTTTGATTTGAATTTTTTTTTAAGTGTGGAACAGGAAATCGTATCGATATTATAAAAAATATTCCCACTATCTAAGAGTAAATTTTTCATTTTGTTATTTTTAGTTTGTCCAAATCAAAATTTTTTATTTATTTTATAGAAAAAATAACTATCAACTAAATAAAAAAATATTGTTATTTTTTACTTTTCACATTACTTTTACTTTAATGTCAAAAGAAAAAAACTTTCGTTATATTAAAACAAATATATCAATATCGTACCGAATAATTAGTATATTAAAACTCGGTAACAAATATATATACCGTACCATACTAAGAATTCAGTATAGTGAAAGTATAAGTATATATTGTTTCATATTGAAATATCAAATTGAAAATAATTTTATAATTTAAGAAAAAAATTAAAATAATTTTTGTATCAATATACCGAATTATTGATATATATTGATATATCGAATACTAAAATATAAACATAATATATGGTATTTTCGTTGCATACCGAAATAATTTTGATATTTCGATATATAACGTTGATGTCAAATTATATACACTGATATTGTATTGAAAAAGTTCGGTACAATATCACACTTAACTGAAATTTTTAGAATACCGAAATTTGGAATTTGAGTTTTTTTTTTTTTTTTCAGTATAATATGCAAAATATTTCGATCATTTGATATTTTTTATATTTAATTAAAAATAAATTAGTGAAATAATTACGGATAAAAAATTTGAATATATTTACTGAACAAAAAACTTCTAATATATTTCACAATTAATATTATAAAATATACAATATAACACACATTCACATAATATATAATACTCCTTTCGTCTAGGTCCAAAGGGGTCATTTGGAATTTTGTAGTAAATTACAAAATAATAGTATGTTTGTAATTTAGTTAAAAGTTAAGGGTGTTTTGGTATTGATGTACGATTATTTTCACTGAAATAGGAAAGAGATACTTTGAAGTGAAATAGACGAAAATAGTAAAATGAGTAGTTTGAATTGGGACGGAAGAAATATCTATTTTACATTTATAAAAAATCAATAATTCAATACAAAAATTATTATTTATTTATGGACATATTTTTACATAATTAACATAAAAATATTTCAAACTCAAACAAAGTAAACAAATATATCCAAAATCGATTGATTTTAATTAGTTGAGATTTAATTGTTATTATTTGTTAATTATTTTTATAGAAAATGACATAATTATTGAATGAGACAATAATAATAAAAAAAAAAAAAAAAAAGTTGACGTAATTTGGTGGCGCGGACAAAGTATTTAATCAGTATGCGCTTTTACTAAAAATGAAACATTAATTAATCTTTTACTTGGAGAGACAAAACAACAAATTGATACATTTGACTTACAGACAAAATATATATATTATATTATTTATATATCTATTTATACCTAACATAAAAAAAAAATAAATAATAATAATAATAAAAATACATTCAATCAAATACACAAACTTAACACACAATTTAAAAATGATTTAAAATTCATTTAAATAAATCATTTTTGGGCCAAAAAATAAGTAGGGAGGGTGGCCTGGTGGGCAGTAATTTAGGCTTACTGGACTAAAATGAAGAGTGAAATATATATATGCATACATGTTGGGCCGGCCCAAGCTGTAATATATATAATTCTATTTTATTTTTTATATATAAAATATTATATTTTGTTTAAATACTATCCGGCTCTGAGGGTCTCGTTTACTTTTTGCATGTTGATTTTTAAATATTAATTATTATACCAAAATGTAATACAAATTAAAAAAAAAAAAATTGCAAAAATACTTCTATTAGTGTTTTATAATACTAAATACAAAATAAAAATACTGTATTTTAATGTAACAAATATTTTAAACAATATTTTCAAAAAATTGATAATATTTATTGATAATATATACATTTTTATTTTAAAAAGTGAGCTAATTATATTTATGTTTACAGAATGTAACAAATATTTTTCGAAGTTAATTATTTTGTCGTTTTTTTTAGATATTTATTTATGTTACACGTGCTTATTAATTATACTGGTTTAGTGATCTTAGTAGGTGGTAAGCATTCTTGTTAGAAATGGGTGGCCATAATGATTTCAACATATATAGTGATATTATTATCTAGATTTTTAATTAAAATACAATACTCCATCGTCAGATAAATATAGTTTTAATTGGATTAGATACAAAATTTAAGAAATATTGATATTATATCGGTAGTGGGTAAAAAATATAGGTAAAAGACTTTTTTGCCCTTATGAGTATATTAGTATAAAAAGTAGTGACAATTGCGTAATAAAAATAAAAAAGTAGAGATAGTTTTATGGTAATATGGTTATTTATGAAAATAAGACTATTGTTTTGGAACATACAAAAATGATAAACAAAATTATTGTATTAGAACGGAGGGAGTACTATATTTTATATATATATATATATATGTTTTTGTATTTTTCTATTTAATTTTGTAGGACGTGTTTAGTTATTTTTGAAATAACTTCAATTCAAATTTTTTACTTTAAACTTAGCTTGTCCTAAAATGGCATAATAATTTTAATCACATTTTTTTTGGATTTTTCTAGATGTTTTAAAACTATATCTCATTGTTTATAAACAAAAAAATATATATATATATATTTAAACTAAAGTTTACTTAGATAGAGATTTTTTTTAGTTTTTTTCTTTTAAATAAGAAAAATTATTTAATATAATATTCTTGTTAGCATAAATAAGTATTTAATATGATTTTTTGAAAAATATTATTAATATATTGATAAATAGTATCAAGATAATAATAATAAAAAAAATGTATGTAAACAAGGATTTGACTAGTGTTTTTGAGTGATATGATTTTTTTTAAAATGTTATTTAAAAAATTTAATATATACATATATTCATACAATATATATATATATATTTCATCTACTCAATAAAAATTAATAATTCAATCAAAAATACTTTCTTACTTAAATTTAGTCTCATTTTTCTTTTTAGTTTATCGGCTGAATTTACTTTAAAACTAATTTTGACAAAGTCAACAAATCAAATATTCAACTATTATTCTCTATTTATTTACGCAAAATATCACTACGTTTATTACATTTTCTCTCATAATTTTCTTTAATTTCTAACCTAATTTTTTAAAATACTTTCAACAATTTTTATTTTTTATTTTTATTTTTATCACTTTTTAGTAAAAAAATATAATTATGTCTCACCCTCTCATCCGAAAGGGTGGGTTGGTGATGGTCTTATTCATCCCGTAATAGACTGGTGTGAATCAGTAGATTTTTTGGAGCTCCGGGACCAAAGACCTGGTAATTTATATTTCGTTCGTCCCTTAATAATTTATCAATTTCTCGATTTTGGTTTGTTTCATAACAAAATATATATTTCTATTTTTAGTAACTGTACTTTCTATTAATATTAAAATTACCTTTACAACTTACAATATATTACACAAATATCATTACTCTTATATCACACTGTACTAATAAGATTATTTTAGTTTTTTCTATTTTATTCATACTATATCCTAATATAATACTAATATTTCTAAAATTACGTGCAAAAAACAAATTGATAGATGAATAAGGGACAGATGTAGTATAATATAACACTCCATCTGTAATATATAAAATATTTATTTTTTCTATTTTGGTACGTCTAATTAATTTATTCTTTATTTTTTGAAAAATAACTATAAATTTTGATCATATTTTAAATTTTATAATTTATATATATATTTTAATTTTAATTAAATTATTTAGTTATTTTGATTCTAATCTTAATCTTAATTGCATACTAATTATATTTTTTTAAAATTCTGTATGGTAATATATATTTTTAATTGAACGGAGGGATGGTATTATTAATATTATTTATTATATGAGTGTTCAACTAATCTAAACTATAGCACAACTAAATTCCTTTTTATAATTTATTGTATTAGACTTTAGGTTTATAGTTTAAATAATAAATATTTTAAATTTAAATAATAATTTGATATGACATAAATATTGATTGTTGTGATATTTTGAATATAACTTTTTTTTATATAATATAAATTTCTTTTAAAAAAATGTTCAATTTGATATGTTTATGAGGTAAAATTTAAACTAAGACACATTAATATCACGAATTAAAAATAAATTCACATAGATAATTCAAATTCATTATCTAATTTGAACTTTCAAGAACATGTGTATTCACTACTAGAAAAAAGGTTGATAATTGCGGAAATTTGTCGCAAATTTTAATCTGTGACAATTAAAAGTCATGGAAAGTAATTTCGTGACAAATTTATGTCACAACTTTTTGTTTTGACTATTCCGTAA